CTCATCATCCTCCTCATCCTCATCATGCTCATCCTCATCCTCATCGTCATCATCATCATCATCATCATCATCATAGTCATCATCATCATCATCATCGCCACCATCATCATCATTATAATTATCACCAACGACACCCTCATCATCATCATCCTCCTCCTCATCCTCATCATCCTCATCCTCATCCTCATCATCATCATCATCATCATCATCACCATCATAATTATCACCAACGACACCCTTATCATCATCATCATCATCATCATCATCATCGTCATAATCATCATCAATATCATCATCATCATCATCATCATCATTATCGTCATCGTCATCATCATCATCATCATCATCCTCAGCACCAGCATCAAAATCACAGTCGTCGTCGTGGTCGTCGTCGTCGTCATCATCATCATCATCCTGATTCTTATCACCGGGATCATCGTCGATTCACACCGTCAGTTTGACACCTCGAGCTCTATTGCCATGTGTCTCATCTTTCCGCGATGCGTTCTGAGGAACTATACGGACACCCATACGGAGTCAGGACGCCTTGGTGTTGTTGTACAGGAGAGTTCCTTTTGAAGGGCAAGCATGTTGTTATTCTCGGCTGACCATGACAACAACCCCCAAAGACAGCCTGTTGTAGAGATCTTTAATTAGAGTACAAACCCTAAACACCTTGAACCCCCACAACACTAAACACTAAAAGCGGCAGGAAGCTGATCTCGAATCCCCACCCCCGAACCCTGGCTGAACAGTGATCTTCAAGCGGCTTGTCGAAAGGGTGGCGTAGTTGCCGACTCTCTGCACGGACTTAAGCTCCCACCTTGGTTTTGGGGGTTGGGAGCAACTGTGGCCACGTTTCTTGAACAGGTTTTATGGTTCAGGGACTTTTCTCGAGAGGACCCTTTCGTGTGGTGAGCGCTTTGAGGATGTAATCCTCTCGGGAATATATCTTCATGGACTTGCGTCCTGCAGCTTTGTGCTCGGCTACGGCTACATAACATCCGACCCCCTCGGCCCTGAGCCTACTAAAACCTAGGCCTAAGCCCTAAATTTCCTGAACTCCTCATGCTAAGCCCCAAGCGGTTTAGGGTTTTAGGGTTTAGGGCATAAAAACTTACCTGATGGTGCATGCATCTATATGTTGTCTACTGGGACCTTGAACGGGGTTCTAGGTACGTTAGGGTCAAAGTGTATACCCTAAACCCTAAACCCTAAACCCTAAACCCTAAACCCTAAACCCTAAACCCCAATGGGGTTGGCCGCGCCGAAACTCGAGACCTCCGATCCTAAACTCTAAACCCTAAACCCTAAGCCTTAAACCATCAAACATCAAGCCCTAAACCCTAAAACCCTA